TGCTTCCTGGCTTTTAGTTGTAAGTCACGCACAAAAAACGTCCATAAAATATTTTAGAAATAAAAAGTTTCAACATTGTCGCGCCCTACTTGTATTTAATCTAAATGTATACACGTGTGTCATGCTGTAACGTATTAGCCAGCGTGCCTCATGGCATCTATTTGGGGACGCTTGGTTGCGGATTAGTCTCGCCACAGGAAGTAGGGTTTTTCCGTAAAGGGAAGAACGCGGAGACGGGAGACACAAGGCTTTGGGTGTCTTCCGGCTTATAGCAGCTTTTCACTGTTATAACAAGCGAGGGGGTGGCGTGACGTAGGAGGTCACGTGGGCCTCGCCTATATAACAGCGTGTACGGAGCCAGTAGGCAGGTTCTGGAGACGGTGGGAGAACCTCGTGCGTGTGCACAAAACTTGGCGCCTAGACGGTGCATATGCGAGCCAGGCTCGCGAGGCTGGAGTCATTAGTTGACGAAGCCTGCGGACTTTATGTCCTTGGGTGACTGCGGTCACGGGGGAGCGATGCTGTGTGCGTGCTCCGAGGTGAAGAGTGGTTGAGTGCCACGATTCACGCCGATTCTCAATCGGATAAGATCGCTCCTGCGATCGAGGCAAACCAGCCGTTGGTGCGCCAGAACGGACTTTGTGTCCCAGCGTGACATCCGGTCACGGAAGCTAGGCTTTGTGCGCGCTTCAAAAGTAGGAGTGGCGAATGCCACAATCAAAACCATCTTCAATCGGGTTTTGGATCGCTCCCGCGATCAGGGGATAGTAGGTCTATCAGAGCTAGGGTGTAAAAAGATTATTAAGTGTATATATTTGTTTTGTTTTCTTGTTAATAAATATATTTGTTATACGAAAGCTCTGTGTCTGTGGTCGCTGTGAGTATCCATGACGTCACAATGCATAGAATAAAAACATGTGAACTGTCGATCTCTTTAACATATAGCATAATATGATTTATTTCTTTAATGGACGTCACTTTACAGTAAAAATCAATTGCAAGTACAACGTTTCTCTGACCAATACGTGTGGCCCCTCAGATACATAAGTCTATAAAATAATCGGTAACAATCAGTAGTATTTTGAAATAAAACAATAAAATGATTACAATAAACCAACTGCACAAAATGTAAGAAAGAGAAAATATTAATACTCAATTTACATCATTTCAATTACAAACATATTTCAAACTACGACGTTGGCATCAATGTTATAATACTATGGGTCTTGTTTACACAATAATTGTCAAATAAGTGCACAGAATGATATTGTTGTAGAATGTGATAACCAGCCACGTTTGGCGGTCGTTACTTCTACTCAGCAGCTTAGAGGAGATTTAGAAAATGATCACCTACTGCATTAACTTCTGGCCCCAACAAAACATGTTCTGAAGATCATTAACTACAAACTTATTGTCTGTGTTGGTAATTTATCTCAATTAAGGATAGAGTGGAATAATCAAATTATTAAGATAAAAGGACATATGGATCCTCCACATGCATGTGCTATGGCTAGTGGAAGAGCCATAGCACATAGCAATCAGACAGGACATTATTCCTGGGGCTCTTTTAAGCTTTTTATGTTCTCGTTATGCTACGAAGAAAAGAGGAAGTATTATAGGGCTACAACGAAAAGCGGCGACATTACGTCACATATGTAGTAAATTACTTCCTATTACACGTTCTCTAATCTGAATTAACGTATTGTAGATACTTCGTGCTGAAAAATTGTTGTTTTTAAAATTTCTATACGTTTGTGACCGTTGCTAACGTAGAAATAATTAAGAATATATTCTCCAAAATTGATATTCCCTGATTAATCTGACCAATAACGAAAACCGGCGAATTTCAAAATAGATTATTGAATTTGAGGGTATTTCACATAAACTATTAGCATGTTAAAAACTTTCTCAAAAAGGGCTCCAATATTTTGGATTATTATCTTTCCTCAGATGGAGTAAAAGGCGTTTTAAAATGGAGCATTTCTAAGATAGGTATTTTTCCTTAATGAAATATATTCAGAGACATAATTAAATAAGTAGATGTACAATTTTGCAAAAATGAGATGATTTTACTTAATTTGGCGTGAAATACAAGGCAAAAAGTTTTTAAAAATTTCTCCAAGTTTATTCTTTAACTTTTCCCGAATAAAGTACGCTTATAACATAACTGAGATATTATTTCTGGTGATCATTTTGTATTTTTGAAAATTCCGAAAAATAACATCCCAAAACTTCAGCATTGATGATTGAGGTTTTCAGAAAGAAAAAATAGATCTTTCAAAAAAGTTCGTGTTCGATTTTTTTAAAACTAGTAGTTTGAAGTATTTTTTTAATAAAGGCAATTTGGAAAAACTAATTCTAAAAACCAGTTTAATTTCTTTATTTATTTTTTCCTCAGTTACAGCAAAAGAGCTCAAAAAAAGTGTATTTCTTATATCCGTAGAACACTCAAAAGTTTTGAAGACTCCAAAAGTTATAAATAATACAAGAAAGTATGTGCAGTTGTAGTATCACTGCTTATGGTTGTTACTGTCTAATGATCTAACATTCGTAAGGTTTATTGGTTGGTGGTGGATGCTGAATTACATTAACCTTTGGTCGATTCCCTAGGTACTATTGGAGATATACAGAATCAACACGTAGCAGACGCACCGTGCATGTGGTCTTGAAACAGTCCATCGAAAATTCGGCTGATCGTACATGACGTTGTTGACGCGTTATTCACAAAAAAGGAAATTCCTTCATTTCACAAAAACTCACATGATAGTAGATCTCTACGACCAGACTACGAATAAGTACTATATTCCAATAACAGGAAAGCCAGACTACGAATAAGTACTATATTACTATACTATAAGTACTGTACTTGCATATGTAAGTAATATGCTTTTGAGCTTTTCAATATATGTGACAGAACAATTCTCAAATCAAAACTCTGTTTAAAAGTGAACCACTGGCAGGTGCTTATTGCATTTCCAACATAAACAAATTCCTTTTAGTTCCATCTAACTACTGTGAGGGGGAAGTTTTGGATATCTGTCAGGGCTGTTTCATTGGGCTGTCACGGAATGTTTCATCGGTCAGGACTGTCAGAAGCCATCAGAGTTTCAAGAAAATATCGAGTCAGTTTCGTCGAGTGAGGAGAACCTCTGGGCTGTTGACGGCTCAACAACACTAAATGTATCTGTCCGCACTTTACAGAGTTGTGCAGTAGACCTATAGTGTAAGTGCGGAATGATCACAGAGCTAGAACCCCTACCACCTTGTATAACTACTCTTACCGTCTCCTGGAATAAACTCGTCTTATTTAATCTCAATTTGCGACTGAAGAATGCCATTGAAACAGACTTCGGAAATAGCGTTTAAAACTTCATTGCATAATAAACTGATGAGATCATTGGTACAAAATTCTAACAATAACTTATGATGTGCTGGTTAGACACTTTAATGTTTTTAGGGGTCGTGTGCAATTCAGTTGCGGAGTACTCTCCTTCAATTACTTATGAATAAGATACAATTTTTAATTTATTTTGGTAAAATTTATGTAGTAGCTGAACAAAACAGGGTATAAATGGTATAAATAATGATATGAATAATAAATATTCCAATGTAACATTTTGCGATGCATTATTACAAAAAACAATGTTTCAATAAATAATAGAGTATATTATACTGAAGTATTAATGAAATATACACTGAAATACGTTTTATAGCCATATATTGCATGGAAATATTTCAGTTTTATTTTAGACGTGTGTGATAAATTTCACTCTTGTGTGTCTATCTTACAATACTTTAATTGAAAAATGTGTGCTCATTCTAGTAAAGCAATGATATCTATTATTATATATAGAACATTCTTCTTATGTGTAAAAAGGCATGAACATCATTACTGGGGAACTTAAACATTCGTACATTGAAATCTGCCGTATTTTCTAATTGTACATGTAGATATGTTCTATGTTTGGAATTTTAAGTGATTAGTTTTGTCACCTCAAGCAAAAGGTGCAATTGTGGTGCAAGGTGTGCTGTTCGGTCAAAAAGATTCAATCTCACATAAAACAATTTTTTTCATTATGCAAAATATAGACTAATTCGAATTCATATTCTTTGAAATTAATTCCATTCTCGAATCACAAAATACCGTACATGTCGGAAGACCAGTGACAATCTTCGGACTTCATCCAGCTAAGATGGTTCCACGCGGGGACAGACACCTGGAGGAGAAAAATACGCCTGCTGCGAATGAATCGGCGCCGAATGCCAAGTTTCTGTGAGGAGAAGCTCTGTCATTTCCATTGGTGTAATAATAAATTAATAATATTAATAGCAATAGTAATTCCTATCATGTTTTACAGAGATAATGTACATTGTTGTTTCTTGCCTAGCAATACTGGTTTTATAAGAATTATCTGTCTACTTTCATGAAGTATTTTTTGTGTGGCATGATTTTTTAGTCATATTCCTTTTTTTTACATTTACAATCTATGCTTTTGTGAACACACAAAAAGTAAAAAAACTAGCTTTAAACATGAAATTTGTGAAAATTTACAGAGATTCATTAGGTATATTTCCGTTGAGAAATATATAACTCCATAAACAAATTCATGCGTAAATTCATTCATCAAAACATTCACTACACATACAGGAGCAATAGACCGCTGGCGAGTAGATCGGAGCCGGATGTCGTTCTTCAGCGAGGGAAGAGCTCTGCCATCTCCAGGGGTATAACACAAACAACACATTCAGAAGCAAAAGGCACAATTAGTTGACGCGCCGGAAGCAAAAGCCGTTTGAAATACTCGCTGTGTTCGTCAGGGCAATTTTCGCGAGAGGGCCGCCTCGGGGGTGTGCGAAGCGCGGCGCCGCGCAGGCGGTGGACAGCCCTGGCGCGCGCCGCGGCGACGAGGGCCGGCGAGACGCACGGGCGCCGCCAATTGGCTAAATGGCGCGTACGCGGCAGGGGGCGGGAGCGCACCCGGTAGCGGCGGCTGAGGCAGGGCTGGAGCCTGGGTTGGGTCGGGGCCGGTGACATGGGGCCGAGGCTTGGCAGGAACGGGAGCGGGGGTGGAGGAGGAGGCGGGGGCGAGGGGCGGGGGTGCAGAGGAGAGAGGAGACGGGGGAGAGGCAGGATGGGAAGATGTGTGGGAGGATACGGAGGCAGGCGAAGGTGGAGAGGCAGTGCGGAGGAGAGAGATGAGCGTGGCGGAAGAGAGGAGAGATGGGGAGGAGGAGGAATGGCGTGGGGTGAGTAAAGCACAGCACGGTGGAAGGAGGGGGAGGGGGCGGAGAAGCGGGGAAGAAGGGACGGAGCAGGAGCAGGCGAGGAGAGGCGGAAAATGGTAGGAAGAAAGCGGGGTTGAAGAGAGAGGAGAGGAGGCCGGGGGGTAGGAAGAGCGTGGACACAGGAGGAGGATGGCGGGCGCAAAAGGGACTTAGTGGTTGACGACATGTTGGCCGAAAGCCGGCGCTGGCGTAAACAGAGGAGACAGTTCTGAGATGGGCCTAGAGAGGTTAGTGCGGGAGTGGAGGTGTAAATGTGCCGATGGTGTACACGTGTGAACGAGGTGAAGAGGTAGGTGCAAGGACAGTCGGGATTGAAAAAAGAGTCGGAATGTGTCGGAAAGAAGGACGAATAGGTGGTGAGGAGGGGAGTGCAAGGAGCAAATGTGTTTGAATGGAGGTGGAGGTGGTGCAGATGGGAAGTACGGAGACGGACGAGACCGAGGCCCGGAGCCGGCGAGGCGCGGGCGGAGCGCGGCGGAGCGCGGGCGCGGAGCGCCGAGCGCGGAGCGCGGCGGAGCGCGCGAAGGCGCGGCACGCGGCGAGGCGCGGCGGAGCGCGGCGAGGCGCGGGCTGGAGGCGCGGGCGGAGGCGCGGGCGGGCGGAGGCGCGGAGCCCGAGAGCGCGGGCGGAGGCCGCGGGCGAGGCGCGGCGGACGCGCGGCGAGGCGCGAGGCGGTGCGGCGATGCGTGGCGAGGCGGGCGTGCGTGCGCGAGGGGTGAGGGAAGGAGAAGGCTAGCGGGCTGAGTGAGAAGAAACCAGGGGCGCGTTCTGGGGCGGGGCGGCGCGTTGCGGGCAGGGTCGAAGGGGCTGACGCAACCTGCCGATGTGCGTGCGGCGAATATGTGCACGCCGCAGACGCCGCGCCGCGGAGAGCCCCCCCCCCGCGTGCACCCTCTGGACCCACAACGGCTTCCGCTGCTCTGTGGCCGGGCCGGCGTCCACGGATTGTTGCGTGATGGATTTCTGAAGGCGTTGACAATAAATGAGACTGCGTGGATCAGGGCAACAATTTCGTAATTTGAAAAATCATTATTACTAGTATTTTCAAAGTTCTTTAACTGCAAACGTAACTGTGTCAACCGTTCACTATTATTTCATAATCAAAAAATATTTTAGAACAATAATTGTTGTTCAATATCTAGGTAAACATGAACTGTCAGCAAATATAAAATGAAATTCAATTCGTAGTTTTTTATAAGGATATTAGTTATAAAGTGCTAATCATTTGTAGTTTTTTAAGTAGCCAATTAAGAAAACATAATACGTTATTATATTATATTTTCTATTTTCGTTACGAGAAAAGGGAGAAGACGAGAACTAAGGCAAAAAGAGGAGAACGAAGGAGAGAAAAACGCCGAGTAAATTGAGAGAAATATTAGCAAGGATGAAAGTTTAGAGTGAAAAAAATAAAATAAATTGAACAAGTAGTTCAAGCAAATGGCAACAGGGACACACATGCACATTCACTACGCAGCTGTTGGAAGAGTTGGAACATACAATGATTCTTTTATTTTTCCCCTGACACCAATTCTGACGCTTCTTAATTGAAGACTTAGTTTCGCTTAATGGAGCATCTGTGTACCTAACGATGATAAATGAAATACTTATTAAGCATATAAAATCTGAGTTAATATTAACTTACGTATTTTTATACCATGACAAGATCGTTAAGTGTTCTACCACAGAATTATTGGTTTTTATGCTGAGTCTGAATCCTGTTCATTCACTTTAGATCTTGTACTGAATATTTAATTTTCCTTTGTTATCAGGTTGAATACAAAAACGAGTTCTAAGTGTAGATGTGTTCACTAGAATAAGTTCACGAAGTAAATTACGGAGTTTTGAACTATTATTACATATAATACCATTTGGAAAGTGTTCAAGAAAGGTACGCAGTTGAACAAGAAAAATACGCAGGTGAGCAAAACAGATGTTAGCTCACTTCTGAATTAGACCATGCGCGGGTCATTTTGAATCAATAAATGATGGCTTATTTCTTGGGTCGAGGTTTGGGCCATCAGGCCTGCACTTCTGCCTTAATACGTAAATTTCGTCACTTGCCTCTCGTAATGCAAGTTGCTTTTAGGCTTGGGGATATTTTATATGCAGTAAATGGGACAGCCGGTTGTATTTTGCATCCGAATGAAAGCATACTACAAATTTTTTGACAACTCCGATCGGGTTTGTACTGGTAAACTTGAATATATCAGTCCGTTGCGCTAACCTTCACAGCATCAAAGTCACCGCTGTGATGCAATTTTTCTTTCGTACATGGGCTGAATTATCGTGTATAGACAAAATTTTAACACTTACACATTTTACCCCACACTTTACAGTGTTTACAATCACAAATGTTTATCTCACCACTTAACAATTTATTTAAACTTACAAACTATTTCGAGGTCTTCAGGTTGACGCACGAATCATGTGTTTATTTCCATTGCGGACTTGTGCCTGTTTTACCCAACGTGCGTAATGAATTCAGTTACCTCTAATGTTCCTTACACACGCTGAATGACACAAGTGCCCAAAAAAGACACTCGTACAGGATTAGTAACTGACGATAAAATTTTCGGAATATGTTTCTCAGCGTCACCATCTTTAGAATCTAGCGATGAAATGCAATATCTTGGCACGTTTCATTGCTAACTCTGACGTTATCTCTTATGAAGGCACATTTTTAAGACGGTTTCATGACAATTAGCATTTTACAATAAATTACCTGAAAATATTTGTTACTAAGTCCTACTCTGTATCAAATACACATGGCAATTGAGAGTATGAAATATTGTTTGTACTAAATGCGCAAAATGCACCATAGCCAAATAATTCATTGCAAATGTTATCTTTGTGAACACGCGATCTATTATGTTTAAAATGCATTTTATGTTTTTATTTACGAAATATAGAAAATGTTGGATCCTATTATTTTAAAAGCCCAAATTTTCTGAATACTCGAAAAAAATTAAAATCGAAGATTCACATTTTTAAATCCGTTAAATTGGAGTTGAAGCGGTGCACATATTAGAACGCCTCATTCACTTGGATTACATTCAGTTCCTCGGTCTGGCGGAAGGTGAGTCTGGAGCGCGGGAGGGCCCTTTGCCCCAGTGGGGAGGCAGCTGCGGCGCCCCCGCGGCGGCCCCCAAAGATTGACTGCGCGTTCGCCTCTCAGCGCGGCCGCGCGCAAGGGCGGTTAAATTGCGGCTGGGCACGAGCTTCCCCTCAAAACTCGCTTCCGCCCGCCCTCCCCCGGCCCGGAACGCACGCCCCCCCTCCGCCCTCGCTCACTACGCCCCGCCCGCCCAGGCCCCCTCCCCCCCTTCGCGCCCCGCAAGCCCCTCCCACACAGCCCGCGTACTCTCCGTCCGTCCACACTTCGCCCGACCGCTTCATCCCCCCGGCCGCTCCGCTCCAGACTCGCTCCCGCCCGCCTCACCAACTTCGCCAACTCACCCTCCAGACAACTCACCCCCCAGCCCTCTCACCCTGCAGCCAACTCATCCCTCAGCCAACTCACCGTCCAGCCAACCCACGCACCTCTACACCACCTCCTACCACCGCCATTCTCCGCTATCCTCCGCCATCTTCCTCGACCACCTAGCACACCGCCTCACCCATCACCTGCAACACTCACACAGGCTTCCCTTCGGCACCTTCGTCACCCTCTTCTTCGTCGCTCTCCCCATCGTCCTCCAGTCTCTCTTCACCTCCCTTGCCGTTGATGTCGTAATCTCTGACATTCTCAGTACTCGATTTCGCCCTCTCCGTGGTGGAGAGTTCCTCTATAATAGTAGAGTATGTAATTAGTTTATAATGTTAAGCTTTATTGCATGAGTACATGTTTTGAAAACCAGCGACTTTCGGAGAGAGTTTTTAAATTTGTACGAATGTAATAAAGCAACATTATAAACGAGTTGCATACTAATTTTTTTGTATAACAACATTATATATTTACAAGAGAATCAAACTTAATTTTGCGAAACAACTTCCCTGTGACGACTCGGCTATTTGACACCTTGCAAGTAAACGGTGGTCGGCTGTTCTGCTGAGCTCTGTCTCCCTCCGATTATCTCGCTACGATTGGCTGAATGTGTGATGACGTAAACATTCGTGACATAAAATCTAATACGTCATCATTTGTTCCGTAAAATGCCCGAATATGAACGCTTTCTTGCAACAGAAAAGGTTCTTTTATAATGCTGGAATACAAAAAAAATCATTTGAATATAGAATAGAACACAACACTGGCCCTCATTGAAGGCCTCCCTGTTTCCTCCGTTGCATTTGCACTAGCCACTCTCCGTCACGTTTTCTTTCTCTATCGGTGTCTCCTTTCCTTAAAGCTAACCCTCCATCTCCCTCATCGTCGCTCTCCTTGCTCCGCTTTTCCTGTCTTCGCTGTCACCGTCGCCGTCACTGTCGTCCGTGTCCTATCACCCTTACCGTCTCTGACGCCTTTTTCCTATTCGCCGCTCTTCTCGTTCTCTGCGTCGCCCTCACCTCTTCCCCCGTCCACACCCTCTACGTCTCTCCTGTCGCCGGTCTCTCCCTCTTCTTCGTTCTCCCTCCTCTTCGTTCTCCCTCCTCCTCTCTGTCATCTTCACCTGCGGGCGGAAAGCCGGCGAGGTTAAATATACGTTTCTTAAAAGCTTCTATCTTTTGTACTTTAATTTACCCCGTGATAATGTGAATGCCTGTATGCCGTTATTGGTTTGTCGATGCAATACTATTTACATTAAAATGAAGAAATACTGGAATTTAGTCGTGAGAACCTTCTAGTATTTTGGAGTTCCTTTGCCTCCGGGAAACAGAAAGACTCCAATAGCGCACAAAGACCAGAATAACGAATGATGCAATTGAGTGCTCATGAATAGTAATGAAACCCTTTTCGAGAGACTCTCTTGTTTGTTTATGCGCAGGAAATAGCAGGTGTAGGTGAGTTGGAGACCATTCAGAAGCGCGTAACGATTCAAATAATAGCCTGTTGTCGGTGCTGATGTATCATTCATTTTCTTTTACCGAAGTTCTCAGAATTAAAAGTCCTCTTTTGTAAGGCA